AGTATCCTCAACCGGGGCGTATTGCTTTCTGGACTCGGGGGAACATTCGCTATAGCCATGTCTAAAATAACGGGATATCAGCCTTCTCTATCAATCGAGCTCACTCTGACTGTTCGACTCTACTCTGGCTCAGACTTGCCTTTACGGCGTCATTGCTAACGGTCTCGTTTGAAGCTCGACTGCCTGCCGCGAGCAAAGGGTTACTGCAAAGCAGAAACGCACAGTTGCTCGCATCAGCCTTCGGGCGACCGTCAACTCGGAAGTATCTGTGTATCATCACCGCCAGCCTCGGGAAGCACTAGCAACCCGAGGGTCGAGCTCAAGGGGCAATGAGCGTTGTCCCTTTTGTCTTGCCGCTTTCCATCTTGGCTGTTCTCGAGCCGAACTGAATCTGGGAGGTGGTTAGCTACGAGGGTTCCGCGAGAACAAAATCGACCAGCTTCTTACCGCTCTCTTCTTCTCCCGCGCAACTGACGCCATGCCGAGCTCTTCAGCGAGCAGCCGCAACACCCTCTTCCCGGGCTCAACCTCGGCATCTGCTTCGGTAAAGCCGAAATCGCACTTCGCCCAGACGGGGGTTTCGATTGACCACTTGACGAACTCCTCGTCGAGGTAAGGGAACCGCACCTCGCGACCCCAGTGAGACATGGCCCTATCGTCGCGCCCCAGGTTACGCTTTCCAAGTCGACTGACGTCCAGCTTGAGCTCGTCGAGCAGACCCGCGTGGCCTCTCCTCGAGAAGGCGGTGGCATGTCGCACGTAGCCACCAAAGAGTTCGTCGGCACCGAGACCGGAGAGGAGAACTCGCGCTGGTGTGGCATAGTGGGTGGCAGCGTCTGATGGATGGCGTTGCGACATGCCCAGGCCACGAGCGGCAAAGTAGAGGGCGTATGCGATGGAGAGATCCATCTCAGTGTTGTGGGGGTACATCAAGGAGATCACTTGGCTCCGATGAACAAGCACTTCTTGGTAGGGAACATCCACCTGCGAGGGGTCAGTAGAGGCCTGGTCGACGGTATGGGGGAGAACTTACGGCAACAAACCTCCAACGGCGGGCAGGACAAACAGCGGCCAATTCGGCGAATGACTTCCTGCCAGTGACCCTGTCAGGACACGCCTCGTACAAGCTCAGACCATCGGGAGACTGTTCGGCCTTGGCTGCCAGACGCGGATTCTCGAAGGCGACATTGATCAAGTCGATGCCCTGTTCAGAGGGCAGAAGATCGCTTGCCATACGCGCAAGAACTGTGCAGTCCAACCCGCCGGAGAACAGGACCGCAACTCGCGTGTCGTTGTCCGCCTCACGAGCCGGCGGTTCGGGGACGTTCAAGACGCGCAGCTTAAGCGATTCTGCCAATTGCTCCCGCACCGCATGGACTGACGGTGACGACGCCGACAGCGGTTGAGTGTCCGGGAACGGCAGAGTCATGTTAAAGACGCCGATGTTGAGAACCTGAAATGGTAAGTAGCAAAAACGAATGATGATTCGTGAAAATCGTCGAGCTTACCGTTTCCGCCTCACCTGGTGTCCATGACCGAGGGGAGGATGGACTGCTCGGGTCTTGACTCCATCTTGCCAAGTCCAGTACGTAGATGCCATCGGCCTCCACCTCGGCCCATTCCGGCGACGTGCTCTCGGCAATGCTGGAAAACCGTAGCCCCTCCTGTTGATTCAATAGCAAAGACCGTCGACCGAGGCGGTCGCGACCGTAGTAGATGCGAGACGCGGCGGCGTCGAAATAGACAAACGCGAAAGGCCCCTCGATGCTGCGCAGGACGTTCAGAACTTGATCCTCGCTGGCATCGCGGCCACTAGCCGCTGTGAGCAGTGAGAATACCGCCTCGCCATCGTTGCCTTGAACGGGTGCGCCCGCAATCTTCCAAGCTTCACCGTTCCAGCAGAGAACAGACTGAGAGGACGCGTCGTGGAATGGCTGCTTGGTGACGTGGTCACCGCGCAAGGCCAGGACGGTCGACGTAAAGTTCAAAAAGACCGGCTTTGCATCGGGGCTCGAGGTCCTTGTCTGGGACTGAACCTCGCCAAGATGATCCGGGCCGCGGCTGCACAGGCAGGTCCTAGTAGTCGCTGGCAGTGACTGGAAGCCTTCGCGAGAAACGCTGACGTGGATGCCACACATCACGGGGCCAGCGTGGTCACAGTAATTGCTCCCCCCTCAGTATATGAACTTTAGTGGGATGTCCGTTTTCGTTAGTGTCGCATGTTTGGTTGGGATTGGGGTGATCTTGGATGAGCTCTCTGCGTAATCTCGTCAGTGCCCGAGAGAAATTGGCCGACGGAATTTGTTCGGGAAACATAGAGAGGATCCACACCCGCCCAATCAGGAACAGCCCCACCATCCCCTCTGGGTATTCGTACCTTCCCTCCCATCATCACAGGCACATAATCCACCAGAATCAATCATTGCTACTCAAAGGAATGTGAGGCGTTCCTATGATTGATGTCAGAGACATTCACCTTCATGAAGAACAATGGCATGTTTGGCATTAGCATGTCATTTGAACTCTGTTTCTAATACATTACAGTGTCTCGACTTGCCTCGCTCTCCCCCAACGGCCCGTCACGCATTCTAGCACCCATCACACGTTGAGTCTCCCTATACATGACCTCCATCAAGAACAACACGGCAGATGACGCGGAGAAGCGGGGTTTGCGAGTCAGAGCGGCATCGTACCCTAGTGCAAGTCATCATGCTATTCCGGGGAGATCTGGGGAAGTTTCCCCCAGTTGCGTTATGCAACAGGGACTCCAGCCGCGAAGAACCGGGACTTGGCCATCGCAGTCAGCCCAGCGTTGGCCGACTAACATCACGCCACTCTCCGGCCCGTCTCCATCATGCGACGCTGCCATCATTATCGGCCCAGCGGGCGAAACCATGGCGACGGGATAAAACAGACCCATTTTCCCAGACGGAAGAGACCCGCCAACATCTAGCAAGCTAACATGGCATCCAAAAGAACCTGTCAACAGCTATGGCGCGCTCATCCCATCCGAAACGCTGGGACGGTGGCCAGACCATTACCAGCGGCGGCGATGATATTCACCTCAAGACCCCTTCTTGCAACTGCTTGCCGCCAACCAAGTTTTCGTCCATCTTCACGTCAAACTCGCCAATACTCGAGTCATTCTCCCCAGACAGCCACGCCTGTGGTAACTCCGAAGTGGACGCCACCCAGTGACCCCACATCTCGACCAGTGGTCATCCTTGGTGCGGGGGTCCTCGGCCGGCGGCTTGCCGTGATGTGGGCCTCTACGGGACGACCCGTCATTCTCCATGACGTCGATCCCGGAGCCCTGGCCTCGGCCATCGTCTACATCGCCGACGCCCTCACCACCGTCTGCTCGGTGCGCGAGACACACCCCGGGCACGTCACGACCAGCACCGTCCTTGAGAATACCTGCGCCGCACGCCCCTGGATGGTCATCGAGGCGCTCCCCGAGGACCCGGAAATCAAGCGCGCCATGCTCGGCAGGGCCGATGCCCTCGTACCCGAAGACTGCATCTTGGCGTCCAACAGCTCGACCTGGCCCACGTCGGCCCTGAGGAACCTGGTCACCCGCCCGGAGCGTCTTCTCAACACGCACTACCACCTCCCGCCCCGCAACACCTACGTTGAGCTCATGACCTGCGGCGCCACCGACCAGAACCTCGCGCCCTTTCTGGAAGCCCAGATGCGGAGCGTCGGCTTCACCCCGCTGGCGCTGCCCCGCGAGTCCGTCGGCTTCGTCTTCAACCGCATCTGGTCCGCCATCAAGTCGGACACGCTGCGCGTCCTGCAAGCGGAGCTGGCGTCGCCGAAGGACATTGACGCCCTCTTCCGCGACTTCTTTCACGCCGAGAAGGGGCCCTGCGAGAAGATGGACGAGGTCGGTTTGGACACGGTCTGGCAGGTTGAGAGGAACCGGCTGGGAATGGGCGTCCTCGATCCGGCCAAGGCAGGATACACGGACTGGCTGGAGGAGAACTACGTTTCGAGGGGCAGGCTAGGAGAGAAGACGGGAGACGGGCTGTACTCGGCCAAGGAGAGGAGCTTGCTTGCAGAGAAGAGGGCACTGGTAAAGTCGTCGTATTCGAAGCTGCGTTAGCAGTTAGCACTGCAATCCGAATTGTACACATCGTCCCCTCCCCCACGAAAGTCGAAAGCTTGCCAGCTGTGTCCATCCAGCAGTCTACATTGATGCTGGACATGTTTGCCAAGCTCGAAGGGAAATCCAACGAGTTGTTATTGCGAGAACGGACGATGTTCGATAACACCGCCGGACTTGTCAGCGCCTTCAACATCGTCCATGCTCGGGAACATAACGCCGAGAGCGGCAACGACAGGGTGTTGGACAGCATCCACCGATTATCTGCTCTAATCGACGAAAAAAACCGAGTTGCCGAATCCGACGAAGCTCAAAACATCGTTGATGATCTCGAAACACTTCTTCGGCAGATGGACACAGCCATCCAACACATGGAATCGGCGAAGCTAACAAGCCATAGGATAAACTTTTGGAGCGTGGAGAAGGAGCATCGCAAGGAAATGCTGTGCTCCGTAGTTCGTCAGGTACCAAATCGTGCTTATAGGCCGACGTTATCCACTCAGTGGAAATGTAACAAGAAGAAAAGATAACACCGAGCAGTTAAAACAATAAACTAAAACCGCTTCGACAGCCCGGCATCAATGCACTATTCTCGCCCCATTCCAAGGAGCAGTGACGTACCTCCCGTTTCCAAATTCTGGGAGTAGAAATTGATGCATCCGTCTCTGCTATAGCCCTCCAAATTCCCTACTAATGAGCATTGACTTAACCGAAAAGAGTTGTTTTCTTATTAACCTGTAAAAGAAATACAAATAGTGATGCCCATGTACTCATCTGGCTCACCTCGCCCATCTTTACCAGAACTAAAAGCACTGACAAAGTGAGCAGCCGAGTAAGGCGGCTGAGCATAAACAATAAATTGTGCTGCCATTAGCGCACAGAAAGACAACCAATTTCAATGAGTCTCGTACCACCCTGAGATTTCAGCTTGCTTCTGGAAGTACTCTTGCTGGCTGGGGCTCATCTTAACAGTGTCATCGGTGAAGGCTCTCAGTGTGTCTGTCCTCATGGCGGCGGCGCGCATAGAGCACTCATCATGGCCTGGAAGTGTGTGCAATCTCATCAGGTTGACAGTCCAATAGACTTTGTTGACAGAGTGCGGGTAGCTCGCCAGTTCATCTGTCAAACAGGTAATGCCCGGATCGATGCCGATCGACTTGCACTCTCTGATCAACGAGCCAAGTAACAAATCCGCACATTCTTTTGCCTTATGATTTCTAGAAGAGTACTTGTTGCATACTTGGCTGCTCAAAGCTTGCCTCGCTGCTTCTCGTACTGGCTCCAGGACGCCCTTCAATAAGGCCATTTGCGTTACGGCGATAATGTCTCGTAAAAGTTAGCCTTGCTCTTCATTAATAGTTTGCACTTCACCACGAGTAACTCACCCAAAATACCGGAGAATCTGATTTGAGCGTTGTAAACAGAGTCCCTGTCTTCGTCTTTATTCCCAATGCAGAAGCCAATTTTGCCATCGTTAGCGCGATACCTGGCCAGTTCAAGAATAGCCCCCTCGAAGAGCTCCTTTGCTCCAATCTCCCTGGTTATCCACGCGAACATCAATGTATCATCGCCGAACTTGACATCCTTGGTCCTGGGGATCCATCTGCGAAGGTAAGGGCGGAAGAGGTACGTCATGCTGTATTTGTTGCTAAGGACCAGAATTTCGAATAGCTCGGGTATGGTAACATGGGTTGGGACGATTCGGTGGCAGCCGTGGGCGATAGCCAGGACGGTAGTCATTGGCAGAAGGTTGTCTTCAGGGAGCTCAACGATCCACTCTTCGCCCTCCTTCTGGGACTCCTTGAAGGGACCGAAGAGCATCTTTTCGAAGATGACTGAAGCGCGCGCCAGAGTTCTGGAGCAGATACGTAGATCCTTTGTATAAGGGGTACTGAACCTTAAGATAAGGTCGCCTCGCTTGTCGAGATCGGTGATTTTTCTGGCCATCTTATATTGACGAGATTCGAGACGGCTATTCAAGAGTTGAGATGGTGTTCGGTAAGAGCTTTCGTGTATGAAAAGTGAGGGTTGGACTGAATTGGCGATGTAGTAGAGAAGAATAAAGGGAGAGTCGAAAATGAAAGCTGAAGTTGCTCGTCTCAGTTGTGTGTGCTTGAAAATATGGGAGAGGGATGGTCTTACAGGCGCGTAAGCAACTAGTATATGGCCCTAGAGGTCTGTATCTCCGATATGGTTTGCCTTGCCACAAGGTTTAGGGCTTCTATGATTGAGGCTCTCCGCTGTAGACAGACATTTTGTTCAGAGCCATCCCCAGTTTGGACAAAAAGCCCATGTTCCATGGTACTGCGATGCATAGATTGACCTGAAGAAATAGTGTGGTAGTCAACTGAGTAACTAACCTACCAACCAACTTGCCATCTAACTTAATCCAACAATGCCTGACCCTCGGCCATGAAACCAGCATCCTGTCCCAGATAACGCATGCCTTCCTTCTTTTTCTCGCTTCCCACCTTTATTCCATTTAGACACGTTCATTGTTCTATTCAGTTTTCTGGAGCAGTCGTTCGTTTGAGGTTCAGCCTCTTACACCGCCTTATTAAGGAAGTTGCCAGCTCAAAGGACAAAGTACAGATTCTGCAAAGATGCCTGGACTCGGACGTTGGCGATCATCCATAAACACCATGTCCGAGTCTGCTAGAAACAACATTTCGCGCGAGGACGAGGAAGTAGGACCACTATGGTCGTCGCTCGCCCGTGTACTTGGAGACTCTGAGAAGGCCGTTGTTCTGCACCCTCAAGTCGACTTTACCCCCAGGATCGGCGTCGAGCAAGACAGCAGCCTCAACAGCGACATGGACATCGCTGCTGATGCGGCATGTTCGATAGAATTAGTCGTCTACTCAAGAAGCCTGGCCCAGGCTTCTCGTTACTTCAATGCCCTGGTCTTTAGAAAACTTGCAGGGTATCGCAGCATGAGCCCGACACCAGGTGGATCGTCAGTTTGCTCGACGACTGCCCGGAACTGATGTATATCCTTCTCGCCATTGTCCGCGGCCGCACCGGCGATCTTCCCTTGACCCTATCGATCGTGAAGCTGGAAGCCGTTTTCGTCCAGGTGACAAGCACGATATGATATCACTCCTAGGCCCTTGAATTCTAAAGTGGCTCGATCTCCACATGGACATGGCTCCTGCGGCGACAAATGGCTACTGGCCTGGATTGCATGGATGATTGGTGCCGCCACCCTGTTTGGGAATTTGGCCATGCACCTGGCTAGGAGCTGGCAAGCTGCCGGCGGCCGCCTGGACGACGAAGGAGGACTGGTAAACGTCGAGAGGTTTCCCGCGGAAGGGGATGAACTCGATGATGCGGGCTTTACGGATGAGGTCCTCTTTTGGGGCAAGGCTAACTCCTATTAGCCTGACACGGTTCGCAGATAAAGCTAAGAGGTACAGGCTCCAGGCAATGGAAAGGCTACTTGAGATGCTAAACTTCAGCATTCCCGCTAACCTGCCAGAGAAGCAAGAAGACAGGGGTGTACTTGTTTGCCCAGCGGGCGGATGCACTGGGCGTCAGGAGCACCAGAGTCAACAGTGACAAGCATGACATCAGAAGCACGATAGAAGAATGAAATTTAATGATACTCCCTAGTATTAACTATACTCATGTGCCCTCTTCCGGCATCACCTCCATGGCGTCGACCCATTCCATGACGAAGGCCGTTACGATCTTGGCCCAGTCCCTCACCGTGGGCATGTGGAGGTGCTCGCCGTCGTCCTCCATCTTGTGCCAATAGTAAGGGAAGGGCGAGGGGATCACGTGCAGGACGTTGACGCCCTTCATCATGAAGGGGACGTGGTCGTCGCCGATGCCGCTGCTGCCGAACATGCTGGGGGCCTTGTTCACGTCGCTGAGGAACGGAATCGAGGGCTTGGTCTCCAGGAGGCCGAGGTCGCGCATGCGCTTCTCGACCTCGGCCATGGCCTTGTAGGCCCAGTGGGTGGACTGGAAGTAGGACGGGATCCTGGGCTCCGGGGCGCCCAGGAGGTCGAGCAGGACGAAGAGTCTGATCTGCTCGAGAGGGTTTTTGTAATGCGACATGGCGGGGTTGAAAGTGTTTTCCCACTCATGCGACAGGGACCTGCATGCGTGTCAGTGAGATGACTTCTTTCAAAAGGGACGAAGCGGTTCGACTCACCTCGCACCATACAGAGAGTCGGTGTCGGTCCAGGACTTGAAGGCTTCCTCGCCATCCAGAAAGAGGAGCTGAAGACCCATGTCTTGGGCAACGGTGCCTCCATTCTCCCCAAGAGCGACCATCTCATCGTACATCTGGGTCAGATACGGGTCGAGAGTCTTGGCGACGTGCAATAGCATGGCACATGGAGCCGCGCTGTCAGTGGCACCGATGAAGCCGGCGGGCTCGATCTTGCTATCGTAGTGCGCCACGAGGGTGAGGTAGTTGGCCTGGCCGGGCTTGGTCCAGGGCGGCTCACGCCTGATGATGAGGTTCTGGAACGGGACGTCCTTGTCGCCGGTGGCGGGAGTCTTGGCCGTCGAGTTCTGCCACTGCACGGTCCAATTGGGCAGTGACTTGAAGAAGTTGACAAAGTGCTGCTGTGTCTTGACCTGCCCTTCCGTACCGGGTACACGAGGGATGAGAATAGGGGAGAGGAGCGGGCCGTTATGGATGTCAAAGTCGTTCTCGGAGACGGTGACGTTTCGAAGAACAGCCTCGGAAAGCGGCGTGTAGGCGCATGCCGAGGCCGCGAGAAGAAGGTGAAGTATCGCGATCCAGAGCCCGCGAACCTGCCCTCTCACGAAAGGGAGGCCGATAAGGGCCATGACGGAGCTGTGGTAAGGGGCAGCGTGCGCAGGATGAGGTTTCTTTCAATCAACAACTCATGCTGTTCATTCACGGAGCCGATATGGGGAGGTTGCGGTGGCGTCAGGAGCGAGGGACGTTGATGAGTTCGCGATGTTGAAGTTTCCAAAGAGGTGTCAACTTTTGGGAGGTCCCCCCCCCCGACGGAGGAGGGATGGAACGGCTAAAACGGGTTAGACCGAAACTGTCCTGCAACGTGTGCTGCATTTCCCCTGGGCGCATGTTTGGGAGAAGTGGGGACCATGAGTGGATTAGCTAAGCTCCACAAGTGTCAACTTACCTGTATTTTGCGAGATGGCAGTAGTGTGTAACTGCAAGTTTATACGCAGTACAGAGGACCTCTATCCCAAGAGGTACTCTTAACCTCTATGACTAAGATTAAACTCACTGTCAACTTCAACTAAGTCAATAGGTAGGTACGATCGATACCCGTACCTCCTTGGTATTTTTCCAAAAACCTTATGTCGCGTTGAGTGTCAAGCATGGTACTATCCCTGCCACCCTGTACTTTGACTGCGTTTTTATGATTGTTTTTATGGCTAGTTTGGTTGCACTTGTGCAAACCGACTGGCTACTGGGGACCGCCTTGCAATTATTCCTTAGTCAGCTTCTCCGCACTATCCGGGAGTGCACGTTCCACCGCGTGACTACACGCGCTCGGGATTTCTTCCATCTCATCGCCACTCACTCTTTATGTAGGTTGTTCACCACTCATCTCATCCCTAGGTCAGGCCCTTCGTTGGAGATGGGAACCACACCGAAGCCGATGAAGTTTCTGTAGCGAGCTCCGCCGAAGACTACGTCGAAGAGAAATACACACACCATGAGCGACAGATAACTTGATCTTCTCAAACGCTGAGTGAGACTGGAGGCGAGGCATGGTCGACTAATAATGAGGTGCACTATTGCAAAGTGCGAATCTATGTGGCCATACAGGATGCTCCCTGAGCATCATAAAGTGAAAAGGGCTACGAGGGCTCTTCCGCCAGCTAACCCAGCATCACCGAGAACAAGATGAGGACAAGGAGAGAAGGAACAAGAGGATTCCGATTTGTTAACACTGTCCCTTCCTCTGTTGTCGTTTGAGTATTCCAGCTGTGCCACTGGGAGATGAAGGACAAGAGGGGACGGGAGGGAAGGAGATGGGTGAGAAGACGTCAGCCACATCATACCTATGGACATTCAGTTCAGCCAGCAAACAACAAGAGCCTGTCTGAAAAGATCATGTGGCTCCCGCCTCAGCACAGCATCCCTGGCAACCTACTCGAGCTTGTTTTCAACAATGGTGCCTACAACTACCCAGTATTTATCTTGGACGAAATGGCAAAGCAGCTTCTGCCTGCAGGGAATGCTTAAGCTCTGTCACAAGTTAGAAAGGCTCATTCCTATAAAAGTAGAGATCTTGGACATATCGGTAAGTAATACAAGTAATAAGTTAAACACTATATAATACGGCACAGACGATATACTTAGTAGGTGCCACATAAAGCAATTATAGCAAAACTGCGCATCGGCAGACGAACAACCGAAGATCAAATATAACTATAAACATAGACAATAAGATACTAGTGGGAAGACATATGCACAAACCCATACAATCCCTGTTGCATTCAACTTACTTCCCCTAGCAAGCGCCCGTATTCTTCAAGCACCGCCAGCAGCGGCCTTCATGAACAAGCGCTCCCTCTTCATCAACAAGCTGCTGACCAGCACAACGCTTCCGGCAGTGATGACCAGGATGTACGGCAGGTTCAGTGCCTCAACAATAGCCTCGAGGACCTCCTGCTGCATCTGCGGGGGCAATGTCGTCACAAAGTCCGTCCCGACGCCGGCGATGGCGAGGTGGATCTGATCCTCCGTGACGTTGTCGGGGAGGATCTCGGTCAGCCGCGTCTCCGCCCTGTTGAGGAACACAGCGTTGCTGACGGCGAGGGCGATGTTGATCCCGCTCGTCTGCGCCAGCGCCATCAGCGACGACGCCACGGCCGCCATGTGCTCCGGCACGCTGGCCTGCGAGATGGAGAAGCCCGCCTGCGTGTACGTCCCGACGCCGGCGCCGAGCATGGCCGAGGCCCCGTAGACCCAGGACGTGCTGGTGTCGGTCTCGACAACGTACATGAGGGTCGCGGCCGTGACGGTGATGGCGCCGCCGACGGTGAACCAGGGCATGTACAGCCCGAACTTGCCCGACGGGTGCGACAGCATGGCGCCCTGCGCCAGCGTGACGACGACCATGAGCAGGATGAAGGGCAGGAGCCGCACGGCGGCGTCGATGGCGCTGTCGCCGCGCGCGAACTGGAAGAAGATCGGGATGAAGTACACCGGGATGAAGATCGCACAGCCCCCCGAGGCGGTCACGCAGAACATCAGGATGATTGTCCGGTAGTACTTGCGGGTGCTGATGAGCTCGACGGGGAACAGGCGATGCTCTTTGGTGGTGGCGATGCAGTACGCCTGCTGGACGCCGAAGACGATGAACAAGACCCCGGCCACGACGAAGAGGGCGATCTCCGAGCCCGAGTTCCACTCGTACATCACACCGCCGAAGCTAATCGCCATGGTGAAGGTAACGATAGCACCGAGCATGAGCACGGCACCAACCCAGTCGATATCGGCCAGTCGCTTGAGGATCGATGCGCCCGGTTGCGGGTCCGGAGACGGCAGCATGAAGATATAGACAGGCGCTGCCAGACCGCCGATCGGGAGGTTGATGTAAAAGGCCCAACTAGACGACGTCAGCCTCTTTGCTTCTTAACCCTGATATGAATCACTCACCGCCATGTCGCATCCGAGTCGGCAAACGCTATTTCAAGATCAGCTTCTCTTCTGCTATTCTCAAGACAAAGACGTGGAGTTGGTGACTTACCTCCTCCGACCAGGGGCCCAAGGATCGTGCCAAGTCCCCACGTCAAACCGATGCATGCCAGGTACATCGGCCTCTCCTGGATCGTCGTCGTCTCCGCGATGAGGACCATGACTCCGACATACATGCCGACGCCGCCGAGACCGCAGAGCGCACGCCCGACGATGAGACTCTCTATATCAGGGGCCGCGCCGCAGAGCGCGCTCCCAGCCTCGAAGACGACGACGCTCCCGATGTACAGCCACTTTGGCTTCAGGTGCGAGTACAGCTGGCCGAAGACGAGGTTCACCGCCGTCGCGGCCATGATGAACGCGACGCCGAGCCACGCGAGGTCCCTGATGGCGTCGAACTGGAGAACGATCTGCGGCTGCACGTCGGCGACGACGGTATTGTCGAGGGCGAAGAGGAAGGTCGAGGAGAGGATGGCGAAGACGATGAGGTACCATCGGAAGCCCGTGACGGTGCGTACGGGCTCCAAGGCGACAGTCTCCTTGCCACGCTCATTGTCGGTGTTCTCCCCCGACAGCGGCCCTTTGGTGGAGGAAGAGTCGGCCGGCTCTGTCTTCTCGAGCACTCCGCCGGTCTGGGATGCGGGCTGGGCTTCGGCTTGGGCTGCCATGGTTGCTTTTGCTGGGGATAAAACCGACAGGAGTGCTTGCGGTTATCGAACAGTCAGTCTCTTCCCTCAACAGGCCTTCAAAGGGGACCGGCCCTGTCAAATATCCCGTTGCCCTGAGGACTTCTCGCCATTTCCTACGATAGCAAGCCATAAGCTCCAATCTCACCGCCAAGAGAACTTCATTGGCAGATCCATAAGCCTTAACATGCAGTCACCCATACACATAGCTATTCTGACCATACCTCAGTTACGTGTAGCTTTGGTGGCTCACCCAGACCAGATTTCCGCTTCACCACTCTAGGCATCCATCTGTTGCTACGAATTTCAGCCTAAAGGCAACCCGCGGACCAGTATTCAAGTTCCTGTTTGTATCACGGGGATGCCGCCGCAAGAATCTCTTGACTTCACAAAGAAGCGCGCGGATAAGGCAGTGGACACCCAACAGGCGGCAAAAAGCTTTGTCTGATAAGCCTTATGATCCAAGTAGGGGGAAAATCCGAGACCCACATTGCATACAGCCACACTCTCCAGGTCTTTGGGATACTGCGTATGTTCATCCCGAAAGTTCCGCCATAGATTTGGGCCTACAGGCTGCCTGCTGACACAGCTTTGGCAAGTAGCAGCTGACCTATCCCATGTCAGAAACGCCACAAAACAACGAGGCTTGACGCACGTCAGACCCTCTGGCGTATCAGACGCACCCCTGCTAATCCGTCCAACCTGCCGTGATGGGCTACTCGTTTTCTATCTAAACGACCTGATGCCGTGGCCCAATGGCAGTTTTGGGTTCTTTGAGGTTGAGATAAGCTTGGGTAAGGACAGCGCATAACTGACGTGAGTGTCAGGCGCGTATCTGTACTGCGGGTTGGTAAGGCGCGTTCCGTTCTGGGTACAGCTGGCTGGCTGGCTGTTACATTGGCTTGGGACCTCGGCTATTTTCTTTTTATATTGGTGCAAGGAATTGATAATTAGTGTGCACGTGGGCCTGCTACATGTCCAAGCCGGCACCTCTCATAGCTACACCTGACACAGCCCATTCCCAGCGGTCTTGATGTCTTTTCTTGAGGTGATTGACTTTTGGTGCGGCGTGCCTGGTTGTTTTGTATATGATACTCGATCGAAAGTCGTATGCTTACTACTTCACGTTGAGGAAGCCATTTGTACATCCCATCACTGGGACATGCGTTCAATCGAATATGCGTAGTTTCCATACTAGCTGCAACTTCATTCCAAGACGGTAGGGCAAATGACGACCAACCCGCTGCCCACCAAGGCCCTGAACTATCCTTCGTTCATGATCCATATGTGAAAAAGTTTCATCATTTCTTCCTTCCTCACAATGAAGGAGATCTCTTCGGCTTCGCGTCGTCTGCCTCCGTGTCAAAAACCACGGACACATTCTTGGCGCCGACGCGCTTGCCGTCATGGCTGACTGAGAAGTCGATGCTCGCACCAGCGCAAACCATTTCGATGGTGTAGTCGAGACGATGGAAAACTTTACCAAGAGAGTTGACATGACGTGGAAGAGCTTCAAAGTCTATCTTCTTGTTCCAAGTGATCTCGCACAGCTCCATGACCGAGCTGTCCTTCTCGGATGGCGGAGGCCAGGCTGAACTGACGTGGAGCGACTCGGAAACCTCGGAAGGGGCCGAAGAGAACAAGCGGTAAAAGTCCTCACTCACGGGAGTTGTGCTCGAGACATCGGTACCCTGGTTTGAAAAAGATGTTGTCAGTGGTCTGTCTGGAGATGACACGGAAGTTTAACAAAGACGAGAGACTCACTTGCTTAAGAAACCAATTCATCTGGTTATGGGCCATCCATTTCTGTTCTTCTTTGGACCACTTCTTGGAACGAGCACTGTGCTTCTTTCTGTCGAATTCGGTATAGAACACGGCTCCATAACTCGCTCTAGCGATTCTGGATGTGACACTAACGGATAGGCCAGGAGACAGGTTTTGTTGAGTGAGACCTTGGACTACTGCACCACGACAAATGGCAGTCCAGCTATTCTCCATCAGTAAAGGTAATTGGACATGGAAAATTGGTCTTACGGCTTTGCGCCTGTCGCTTGGAGAAGCGCGATGTCTGTGTCAATGGCTGACCGAAGATGGCTACGAAGGTAGCGGCATCTACCAAAACCGCCGACGAGAATGATGTTCTAGCATCCTTTTAGCAAACTGGCCCAGATATTATCAAACACACATTTCAAAATTACCTTGGGAAGTTTGCCCGATTTGGCACGAACGCCATCGATTTGTTTCTGAACAAGGGAACTGATCTTGTTGGCGATGGGGTCGAAGACAGAGAGCAGGTCCTGGAGGTTGAGCATCAGATTGCGTTTTCGCTTAATGCCTTGCTCCGGGTTTTTTTTGACTCGGCATCCGGAAGGCAACTTGATGTGCCACTGTCGATCTTTTTGGCCGTCAAACTGTTGCTTTATGCCGTGTTCCCAGTCTCCATTGAGAACATTCGCGGCCTCGTCTTTGGGAACATTGTCCCAGGCCTGCGCAGTGACTTTGTCCTTGATCAGGTTGACGAATGCCTCATCAAGGAAAACTCCACCGCATAACTCCCCGTCTCCTTTAATAGCCTCGCGAACGACCATGGGCTTCAGGCTCAGCACTTCGTAGCTGATGAGGTCGACGGTGCCGCCACCGGCATCACAAACAACGAAGTGGTCTCCAGCCTGCATCAGTGTCAGAATACTTTTTGCTAATGGAATGGGAATGGATTTTGCCTTGATGTTGGGGCGTCCTGCAAGATCTCTCATCGTAGCTAGAGCGGCAGCCTCGGGCTCTGAAATGAATGCGAGCGTTGTCTGTCCGGCGGGACGCTCTTCAAGGAGGCCGGCATTTTCTGCAGCACGGCGCATACGAGCTTTGGCATACTCGGGCCAGATTGCCGGTAACGTGATGACGACGTGGAATTTACACATTTTGACGAGCTCATCTCCAGCTGAAATACCGATGCTTTCAATCGAATGGTTCCACAATCTCCGTATGTAGCTCCCGATTATCTCCACCGGGTCTTTGTTAGAGGCTTTGACGGCCTTCCTTGCTGCAATTAACCGGGACGAATGTCGAAGGTTGTCAGGAAGGTCCGGTCCATCAATCAGGAGAAGTTTAAACCATCTTATTGCGTCTTGGATTTCCTCGACCGGGATCTCGTAACCCCAAGAAACAGCGTTCTGGGTGCCACGGTACAAAATTGTAGTCGGTGCTTTCTCCCTATCGGAGGCATAATTCATCTCTGATTCCCACCTCGTGATGACTTCGATGTCGTTTGGCTGTCCAGAGAATGCCCAGCTGACTCCCGAGAAACTAAGCATACCATTAATTTGTGACCGGGGGATAGGAGTATTAGCGTGTCTTACGTGGTTCCGAAGTCGATACCAATGACTATGGCATCCTCGGTGTCGGCCATGGTGAAGATAAAGACCGAACTGGATAAAGCCAGTTTCTTGGTGCTATAAGACAAATTAGCTTCACAAATGGAGCTGATACTCCTATGACGTGAACGTAAAGATCCAGCCGTAAGTGAGCAAGGACAGACGTACGTTGCGTGAGGCGACTCTCTAGGAATAGTTGACAAGTTGGGAATCTCACCTTGGCGGAGCGAAAAAAAAAGGTGAAGACGGTGCTGGTGGGTGGGGCAAAAGAAGAAACGTCCTCTCAGGAAGGATAGAGAAAATACAAACGCTTTAGGAAAGCGCGGTGGGCAGCAACCCAGAGAAGTTGGCCTGTCCTTCCTCTTTTGTGTTTCACCTACCTAGGTAAGCAGGTAAACAAACAAAAGCTCTGCGTATTGCCCCGTTTGGCCTCTTTCCGGCTACCTAACTAGGTACTTGGCTATCTGACTCCCTGCCTACGAGACTTCATTGACCCAGGCTGCAACTTCGGCCATTGTATCCTTCTGGCTTGGAAGACAGGTAAGTGCGTATATTCCTCAGCGACAAAGGTCTCACCAGTTTCAGGGTCTTAACACCTTGGAAAACATCTCTCAACAGAGTACAACCTCATATCCGTCCTTGCCTTATAACATCGTCTCGCAATGCCGCCCTTCTTGGAGGCCAACGCGAGCAAGAATGCTCCATGCGTAAGTAGAAACAACTGTGAAAAGCAAACACTTGGAGTCACAACTCATTTCTTCTAGAACAATGATGACGATGTCGACATGATTTCCGTTCCAGCTCAGCCTTCACAAATGCAGCAAATAAGCAGCGAAAGACAAGAGAACAGAACCGACTTTTCTCTTGACATGAGCAGCCCCGAGCCGCAGTTCAGCCAGAACTATCAGCATCATTGCGATCTCCTATCAGACCTGCGCAAACAAGACATTCTGCACTTGGATGACATAATGGACAATGTGGCATTCAATCCTACGCCAGAGACACAAGCCGGCGAGCCAAGTGTGATTGATGGCTCACCTGAAGATCAGATAAACCAGACTCAAGATGCGACCTATTTCCTGCTACAGGACGCCGAGGTTCGCAAACTTCAAGATGAGGTCATCCAACTACACACGCAGCTCGAAGACAATGAGAACGAGATTTTCAAACTCGAATCTAACATTGCCGTTGTCGAAAATAACTATTCTCATATCAAAACTGAGGTTGCTTGTGTCAGAACTGAGATTGCCTGTGTCGAACAGATGGTCGAGGCTGCTGAGCGCCAGCGAACCGAGATGCAGCAGTTGTACCAGCACAAAGTTTCCGAGCTTATGACACACATCGGCAAGCTTAATGGTAATATTTGTGATCTCAAAGCGCAGGTTGCATCCCGCAAGGCACTCAAGTCCCAAGACAAGGCCATTGCCAACTCGCAAAAAGTTTCAGACGACGTAATCAAAGCCAGCTGGAGAACAATGACATACAACATCAGTAGCCTCGTTTCCACCATCCTTACAGGGAATCCCTCCCGGCATGATCTGGACCATCATGTTCACGAGGGCAAAGAGGAGTCTTGTGCTTGTTGCCAACTTGATGCACGCCAAGTCCTGCTTCTCCAAAACGACGACACGAGAGAATGCGTCGTCGAGAAGCTCGTTTGGGACGCTGTTTTCAGCCACATATTCTCCCCCAACGGAGTTCGCTTTGGTAGGAATCGGGCCGGGACACCAGGCCAGTTACTGTCTGCTCTCTTCAACCAGTTGCTTGGTAAGTCTCCTCGAGTATCTGTTCGAATTATAAAATTTGATGACTGATAATGCACCTTCAGAAAGGCCTGAGATGACAAACAACCCCACCATGCTACTTCGATGGAAGGCTGAGAGCGCCGTCATGATGGACAAGGTCATCGGCGTCGACAACAAAGAGCTAGATACTATCGTCGACAAGGAATACGGGGGCCTCTGCGTATTCATTCCCCGCGACTGTCCCGACATCACAGTCGCGCGACAGAGTCTTTATCACCAGCTCCGGAACATTTTCAAGGAGGCGACTGAGATACACCGAATCTTGATGCAATCCCGCGCCCACTTTTATATCGATCTGGTTGATACTGAAGCCGTTGTTCATTATAACCCGGAGTATCATGAAGCCGAGGTATATGAGACGGAGCTGAGCCCAAAGAGCACCGTCCTGCTCGGGATTTCACCGAGTCTGGTCAAGTGCGGAAATGCCGACGGCGGCAACTACGACAAGAGCAACCGGCTGGTCAAGGCATCAGTAATCTGCGACTAGGGGGAGGGGGCATTGAGGAAGCAGCATCGTTGGCTTTGGAGACGAAGACGTTTGCAACTCCGAGAGACAGTCTTGGAGAAAAAGGGAACGTTTTTATTTAGTATTGCGAGAGGGGAGGCCGCGTGCAATCAAGCCTCTTTTATCTTGCACCACCTTCCTTGGCTTTAGGCACACAGTAGAATGACAATTGCGTAAAAGGCACATTTGAGTCGCAGACTTTGGCTAGATTGTGATGTGTAACATATTTTGACAGCATCGACATCATGACAAGAAATGTCAGATCAATCAATGCTCAATCAATCGCTTGTCAAGCTCCCAGGTATGATAGGGGAAGCAGCTGGGATGAAGACGAAAAAAAAAGGTAGATAGCACAACCTGGTTTCGATCCAGGGACCTCTGGGTTATGAGCCCAGCGCTCTACCCCTGAGCTATTGTGCTTGCTATGTCACTGTGCGCTGATTTTAAATACTAAGTATTGTCGCTATGCGGGCCGAGTGAACGGCGACCCTCCAAACAAGTCTGTGTACTCTGTAGTGGAACGCATGTATGGAGAATAAAGCTGGATTGGCCAAAGTCTTTGTGGTCCTTGCATGTCGCCTCGAAGGCCTACCTCGGGTCGTACTCCCGCCATTGCCAAAACCACACATTCCGACCGACTTCTCGGCCACGGAGTCCGAGTATCGGAGCATACCCGACCAGCAACCGCGGCACATGGGGCCCCCCTCATGCCGAGTCGGTGCCGGCCGACGGCCGTTTCTGTAGACTAGACGATGATAGGACATGGTCGCTTTCAACCTTCCTTCCCCTGCTACGTAGACCTCAACACCACCCCCTGGTCTCGCGCCATCGTCCCCAGAGCGGGCCGGCTGGCTTATTTCCGTCAATCGCGCCAAATGCGCACCTCGGTAATCGGCAAGACGAAAAGCAAGCCGAACCGCTCGTCGTAGAAAATGGGGGGGGAATGCCGGAATGGTCATAATTACTTCCTCTTTGACGTGACGCACTGTTGGGATTGTAAAGAACAGAAAGGTTACAACACGAACTACGTAGACATTGTTGGAGAATAGCGTTTGTTTGTTTCATTTTGCATGGCCGTCAAGAACTCTGCGTCCGAATACACGCAGCACACACGACCAGCTGCTAGTGCACTGCGATGACCTCATCATCGTCCCTAGCCAAGTAGCCTCGACGGACCCCCGAGTGGACGCTAAGAGCGGGAATCAAGCAAGTCTAACGACGAAAGAAAAAGGCTCAGGTAGCCGACTCTTGCGGCAGACCTCGTCCGAAACACCGGGTTTGACGCAGCAGAGCGGAAACTTATTGCAAGCCCCAAGTCCCGAGATGGAGAAATTGACGATGTCGGATAGGCGAAACTCTATCGGCGACGATAGAGGTGCCGGGGACAGGGGTGTCGCGCCCGTGAAAGCGGCCGCAGAACTTACTTCCAGCCCACAAGCCCGGGCCGCGAACTCTATCCTTGGTGGCTCCGGCGAGGAGAAGGAGGGAAGGGTGCCGACGGGCGGGGAGACGAGATCGCCAATGCCGTCGCCGTCCAACTCGGACTGCGAATCACACCGGGCCAAGGGGCGCGGCGGGATCCTCAACTGGGTTGTGCGGACGCTCACCTGGACGCCGAAGAGGCTTCGATACGATGCCGCGAACCCTCCGGAGTTTACCCTCGCACTGAACTTCATGTTTGCGGTGGTAAGTTTCTGCCCCCCCTCGTCTCCTTCTCCACAACGATCGGACGAACGAGCGTGTGCAAGGATGAATGCTGATCGGACGACGTGTAGGCGGCGACGTTTACCGTGGCCAACCTCTACTATAACCAACCGGTGCTGAACAAGATCGCCGAGACGTTCGACGTCAGCTTCGAGAGGGCGTCGTCGGTGGCAACGCTGATGCAGGCTGGGTACGCGGCGGGGCTGCTGTTCATTTGCCCGCTGGGCGACATGGTGCGGCGGCGGCCGTTCATCTTGGGCCTCATCTGGGTGACGGCCATGCTGGTGAGTATTCCGAGAGCGCCAGCCCAGAAGCGTGTTCAGCTGATAACCCCACCCAGTGGCTCGGGCTCTGCGTGACGAACTCCTTCGCCGCCTTCCTCGCCCTCTCCTTCATCGTCGGCGCGACGACCGTGACGCCGCAGCTCATGCTCCCGCTCGTCGCGGACATGGCGCCGGCGCACCGGAAGGCCAGCTCGCTCTCCATCACGACGTCGGGACTGATGCTCGGCATGCTCATCGCGCGTCTGCTGTCGGGCATCGTGGCCAACTACACGTCGTGGCGCAACATCTACTGGATCGGCTTCGCGGCGCAGTACGTCATCCTCGTGCTGCTCTTCTTCTTCCTGCCCGACTACCCGTCCAAGAACCCGGACGGGCTGAACTACTTGCGCGCGCTGTGGACGATCGTGACGATGCTGTTCACGGAGCCGGTCCTAGTGCACGCGTGCTTGATTGGCTTTTTCATCAGCGCCATCTTCACGTCGTTCTGGACAACGTTGACGTTCTTGCTGGCGTCACCACCGTACGAGTACCCGTCCGTAACGATCGGGTTGTTCTCGCTCATTGGCATCGCAGCCATCTGCGGCGGGCCGGTGTACGGACGGCTTGTCATGGACCGGTACGTGCCGTTCCTATCGTCCGTGGTGGGCCAGGTCGCCATCCTCGCCGGATGCATCGCCGGCGCGTTCACGGGCGAGTTCACGGTCGCGGGACCGGTGATTCAGGCAATCTGCATCGACATGGGCATACAGACCGCGCAGACTGCCAATAGGACGTCCATTTACACCATCAACGCAAAGGCGAGGAATCGTGTCAACACAGCGTACATGGTATGCGTGTTCTGCGGGCAGCTGACAGGCACGGCGGTGGGGAATCGGTTATATGCGCAGGGCGGGTGGAAGTACAGCGGAGGTGCCTCGAGTAAGTCAAGCCTCATCCTCTGCCATGATCATGTCTGGTGCGAATGCTGATGCCGTGTCCTCTAGTCGGCTTCATCGGGCTGTCCTTGATCCTCACAATGCTCAAGGGCCCAAGGGAGAAGAGGTGGATCGGCTGGAGCGGCGGCTGCAAGCTGCGTAGGGACGGGGTCCCGAAGAAGGCGGAGCCTGTGTCGCCAGAAGACGGACAGGAGGCGGAGAAGTCGGAAGAGAAGCGAACCGGGGAGGATAAGACGAAGGCCGGAGCGGGTGAGGAGATTCGGCGGTGAGGGGGATCCGTGTTTATCGGGGGTTGGGCCAAGGCCAAGGGTCGTCAAAGTCTAGCCAGTAGGTACCATGTACCTATTCGTAGGCGGGCCTCCATTTCTTGGGCAAAAGCTTATTATTCAACAAGCACCGTGTCAAAATGCCTCAACTGACAAAATGCTCGATGTATGCATCCCAATCTCAAGTCTCGAGTTGAAACAAAAACGAATATCCAAGACTGGAAGAGGGCAATGATATACCGGTACCTACGTACCTACTTCCTGCCAGAGGTGCATACCTATAGGTACCAAGGCACCAATCTAAGTGCCTTGAGTAGGTAGGTGCCTTAGGTAGTATTATAGGCTGCCTAGGCAGGTGTCGAGTAATGAGGCTCAGTTTACCAGGTTCTTCCTTCCTTTACGGCACAGCGCGTGGCCCCGGAAACGAGGCCCTCCAGACGCCCACCAAGATGCATAATCACGTCGCCGGAGCATCCGCGGCGGGGGGGTGCAAACCACTAAACAATGTCACTTGAAGGCTCGCTTCGGCGGGTGCTTGTAGCCTAGCGTCTCTGCCATCGGCGGCGAGCACGCAGTTGACGGCAACAACCACGAACCCCCACAAGCAACTCCTCGCGAGGCCCACCGAGATCACGCTTTCGGGGGACGGTGGAGGACCAGGTCCCCCCCCTGGACACCGCTGGAACGGTGCAAAATGCGACCCGAACCAACCACCGCTGACGGCCAAGATCTGCAAGACGAACAGGCAGAAAAAATAAAGAAAGAGAACAACGGACAATTAAAACCCACCCATATCCCGGATCTGAAAGACGGATTCTAGCGCCTGGGATGGGCACGACGGCTGTCTCACTCTCACCTCCACCCTCGCCTTCATCCTCGCTGACGACGAAGACAACAACAACGGCGACGCTGCCGCTCACCTAAACTCGGTCATGTTGAGCTGCAACCCGCGAGGCATCAGCGACAACCCACGGAAATCGCCCTGATGGCCCGTTTTCAGGGACTTGATTCGTCCGACCTGTTCCGCTTCGACACCCTTGCCCTACGCGATGACACCCTGCTCGCTGACGGCACCTCGGCCTCCAAGGTCGAGTACGATGAGTATGTCGTCTTCAAGAAGGACAATGGCATTTCTTCGGGCATGAAGACGGACTTGGAGGGCGACCAGGACATCAGTTTCCAGCTCCAGCACAAGGACGAGGTGCCCGGCTACCACAGCCTCGATCTCGCCTTTCGTCGAGGGTACTGCATGGACCACAATGTGAGCATTGCCTCATCAACTGGCTTCCCAACTTGCAAGAGGTCATGCTGACGGCTGCGACAGGGAGTCTTTACAAAGGAACCAGCACGGCATCCAGAGCTGGTACTCGATGGACGCGTTCGCCGAGTGTGAGCGCACACCCACCCATCTCTTGTCCCAGTTCCGAAGCTGACAGTCGCAGTATCTGCTTCCGCCGCAACAGGTCTTTCGACCGCCGGGAAGATGGCATCACCATGACCCCCGAAGATCTGGACGCCATGGACCTGCACCCGGCCACCCTGCAGTACTCCCGCAGGGTCACCAACGAGTCCCGCTTCTGGTCCCTCGACCGCTCCAAGTTGAGTGAGTTCCTCGACCGCTGCCCTCACTACGATGCGCCCACTAACCCCGTCAGGTCTCATCCTTTCTTTCTCCAACAACCCAAGAACCCCCTACGACTTCCTGTCCTTGACCTACGACGTCCGCAGCCGCACCTCGTCCGTCCTCATCAGGCAGTCCTATCATCCGCGCCAGCACAGCCTTGAGAACCTTGACGAGTACGGCCAGCGCCTCGAGGCCTGCCGCGCCCACTGGGCTCATCCCTTCATCACCCCCGTAGTCCTGCTCCAGGTCCAGTTCATGCGCACCGAGGAGGCCGTCATGGAGAACATCGACCATGTCAAGGCTCTCGAGGTGGCGGTCGGCAGCATCGCCGGCTTCGAGGCCTTCGAGATGGAGCGTGAGCGCCGCTCCAAGCTGATGCGCCGCCTGACCTTTGGCGCCCAAAACGACAAGCCGCCCCAGGTCAACGGGCCCATGGGCATGGCGAACTTGATGAAGAGCGCCCACGATGTGCTCAAGGAATCGATCAAGCTGCTCGACACCGTCCGCTGGATGGAGAGGGTCGTGAGGCTGATGCTGCAGGCTGGCGATGAGCTGGCGGAGCGCATGTCGACTGGGGAGCTCAAGACCCGTCTCGACAACTTCCACGTCGGTGACACGGACGCCGACCAGCATTACCAGCAAGAACAGCAGGCCATGCCAGACGAGCCCCCGACGGGTCCGCCTTCGCGCTCGTCCGCTAGCACACGCCGACGATCCTTACCCCCCGGCCCCGCCCCCAACCCGCTGGCTGACCCCCTTGGAAAGCACTGGCACGAGATTCGACAATACCTCGAGGGGCTACAAAGGATGTGCATGGGCCTCGAAACCGATCGTCGCATGTCAGAAGCCCGATGCCGCGCTCAAATCGATATCGTAAGTCGCACAGCCTCCCATCACCTCCTAGGAATTCTCCGATCCCCCTTCTGACGCGTCTCAGATTTACAGTAAGATGGCCCAAGAAGACAATGTTCTGAACGCCCGCATGGCGGTCGCCTCCTCTCGCGACTCATCCTCCATGAAGGCCCTCGCCGTTATCACCGCCGTCTTCCTCCCCGGCGAGTTCCTCGGCACCCTCTTCGGCATGTCTATGTTCGACTGGCAGGCCTCGGGCGAGGACGCCGCGGGCGACAGCGCCGCTCAGAATCCAGAACCCGGCACCGCGACGAACCCCAAGGACCCGGTCCCCGTGCTGAGCCACCTGTTCTGGGTCTACTGGGCGACGGTGATCCCCCTGACCGTCGCCATCCTCGTCGCCTGGCGCGCGTGGTGGGTCAACCAGGACCGGTATTTCCGGCGGCACCTGTCGCGGGAGCTGTCCGAAGAGCGGTACTGGACCGCCGACGGCAAGCCGCGCGAGCTGGAGCACTCGTTCTGGTGGGACTTTTTTTACCTGTCAGTGCGGCGGGATGAGCGGCCAGCCCAGGTAAGCGACCCGTACAGCATGCTCGACCTGTCGTCGAGCTTGTCGCAGGACAAGGAGGAGCTGCGGTCGCCGCAGGGCGAGGCGACGACGGTCCGGAGGGGCCAGATCTCGTTCCTTCGGTCGCAGAGCATGAGGCAGCGGAACGTCGTGGCCGTGTGAGCGGTTGTACATATACATGTATGCGTTCTCAAGACGTTGGTTGAGAGCTGTTTGCTTCCTTGCGTTTCTGCTCGCAAGTGTATGGTCTTGTTCAGCGCATGTTTTGGTGTTTTGCTATATACACCCCCCACATTGAAATCTATTATCTGATGTTTACGGCGGGTTGTTTTGCAGCCAGAATACTGCTCGGGAGAGACTTAGAGGCGCATTAGCAGATATAATGAAGACCATGTTGATGACGTATTCTGATGTGACGGGCTACTTTGCTGAAGGATTACTTGACCAACCAAATGATTGTGTTCCAGTCACGTTTTGCACCAAGATAACCGTCCTACCCTTCTTTAGACGGTTAGTATTTCTTCTAGCAAAACTCGAGGTCCTGGGAGATTGCAAAATTTGCCCATAAACTCCATTTGGTTCCGCGGCTTGGGCTGGTCGTTTCACGTTTCTTTATGGCTCCAAAGCAAATGTTTGCCTGCCCTCTGATGATGCATTTGCTGCGCACCACTCACTATGAGATTCCGTCAATCCTTCCTACTGGTTGGGTGAGGCACCTTTACCCTTCATGTATTCTGTTATTCTTGGCCTGTATTATCCAAATCTCTTCATTATAACATGCTTTATAACAAAGAATATCCGCCTTAGACTACCTAGGCATGGCGTGGTTACTCTGTGTGTCCTGGGCCACCCAGCCAAGCAAGCCACTGGAGTACGCTCAACCAACAGTTGAGAAAAGTTGAAATGTGACTTTTCCATCGTACCCTTTGTTTGCTGAATGTCTCCTGGGTTATGGTATACAAGATCCAAGAAGAGTTGGTAGTTGCGTGATGTTGGACATACTATGTGCATCTAAGAATGCATGCCGCCACGCCCAGCTGAGGAGTGGCACCGCTACAGATCACGGCCTCTCCCCGTGCGAGTGCATTAATGCAAGCACATATCACCTCCCAGTTTGGTTACACATGGATGAACTTTTTGCAAGTTTGTGCGGGGTTGCCTTTGTTGCTGCTGTTGCTTGGGGCTCCCTTGGATCTGACCACAGTACAACACCCCGAGCTGCAAAGCTTGGTCTCGCTCCAGTACCGATGTGTCCATTCCGTCTTGTCAACACCGCCTTGTTAAGGTTCTCATCTTCTTCATATTTCGCAATCTGCAAGTTATATAGTTACGCAACATTATAGTCTGACGAGATGCTAGGCACCACATGCAAACTACATCATACATACAGATGCCTGGGATCATCGCTTTTTCTCCAATCTAGCATGTAATGTTGTGTGCAATCACTAGAACAAAGAATATGCCAGGCTCTTCACTTCATTTCCTGTACTACTACCTTTTCTTTGGGTTTGTTTCTTGTAACCTAACCACCCTTATCATATTTATATCTTTTCTTGAATACAATTTCTTCCAATACTGTGGCTGTCTCCTTCGTCACACTAGCTCCTAGGAAGTATGCCCTCCAATAATAAAGACTATTATCATATCAGTCTATGTTACGAACAACTCTGAAGGTACTTGCGCTAGGCCTGTTGCGAGGAGGATCTTTTGGGCTTCTCTGGCTTGCCCCTTGTCGCTTGGGCTCGTTACTTCCCACCTGTTTTAGTATGAGTTTCTAACTTCGCGCGAAGCAGTTAAGAAATATCAAGTTTTTTTTTTTTTGGACCTCTTCTTTCATCTTCAAGGCTTAATTTTGCTTCAAGAACTAATAGATCACTCATTCCTCTCCTTTATAACTATATAAACCCTCTCTTCCTCCCTTACACCTTCTGCTCTGGGACCCAGTCCACCCACAGCAACAATTACACCTGTACAGGATACTAGTCTATCCAAACAGATTCCTTCTTCCGCTCTCATTCAATTTTCTCTCCCTGTTCTGTCCGGCACAGTTACTGCCCATACTTTGCTCCATTGACACAGCAGCGCCAGTCGAGATGTTTACAAAGGCCATCATCACCGCTGCCGTTGCTGGCCTTACCACCTTGGGGGCTCACGCGGAACCTCTCACAACCGACCAGAGTCGGGCCCTGAAGACCATTAACGACGCCCGCATCGCCGCTGGCGTCCACATCCTCAGCTGGAACACTAATCTTCAGAACGACGCCACCGCCTGGGCAGAGCAGATTGCTGCCTCTGGCCACCTCGGGCGTGCTCCCGCCTCGCTGCGCAATGACGCCGGGGAGGTTTTGGCTTTCTTCCAGGCCCTCGACGCCGAAAACTCTGCCCTTCGCTACCCGCTCTCCGAGGCTGCCAAGCTTTGGCTGAACTCTGGTAACATGGCTAAGGCTGGAACTGTTATCCGCCAGGAGGCGCTCAGCAAGACTGGTTAGGCTGTTACTATTCTTGCAAGATGCTTGCCTTACTGAATACATCTCGCAGAACATCTCTTATCCCTCACAGCTACTGACATTGGCTGTGGCACCGCCCACGGCACCCTCGGCAACGGTGCCGAGGACCCTCTTCGCGTCTATGCTGTGTGCCGCATCTTCAAGGACGTCTCTGAGCAAGTCTTGTCTCACACTCACTCTCCTTTATTTCCTATCTGTCAATTCTAATACCAAGCGTTGCCAGGCATATGAAGCTCTCGGCTCGCCAGGATCTCAACCCCGGCCCTTTTTGGGGCGACATCACCTTCTTCAACCCTGGTCTCGGCGCCTGCGGTAGAGTCGACGGCGACGGCTCCATGATCGTCGCCCTCTCTCACCTCAAGATGGGTTCTCAGTCCAACGGCAACGCCCTCTGCGGCCGTCGGGTTCGTATCAGGGGCCCCAGGGGGGAAGCCGTCGTCACTGTCACCGACAAGTGCATGGGATGCTCTATCCATGACATTGACGTCAGCCCTGCCGTGTTTGAGAAGATTGCTGGCAACCAGGGCCTGGGTCGGGTCGGCAACATTGAGTGGTCTCTCATTTGAGTCGCGCTTCACATCTCTCTGCTGTCTCCTGACCCTCCTATACGTTATCTACACGGGATTTCCTGGGAGAGCATGTCGAGGTTCGCAATCATTTTCCAACAGGGACGTGTTCTCGTCAGTTTGATTGCGTTCAGCTTCCAAGCAGCAATCACAATAAAGTACAAGTCATCTGAAATCATCTCTTCCACTATTTTACGTACCTGGCCTTTCGATTGCGTTGTATTTTTATTGTTCTGGTTGCGCAAGACCTTCCCAATTCAGCCTTCATGGGTTCCATTGAGAATTGTGTGGTGTTGCTCACAAGTACAGCTTATGTCGGTTGTTTATTAACAGTTTCTCTCTCTAGTCATTGTGCGTTCTAGAGACTTTTTCGTCTTGTTATCGCACTGTTCTATGACACAAGAAAAGTATCCTGGGATCTCTGTCTGTGCGGCCCATGGGCAACTCAAAGAATGTTTCTGGCCCGTTCCAAATTATCGTCATCAACCGCAGGAACTCTGGTAGTCTTCTGCTCACGCCAACGGCGCATGAACGCCTCTTTCTCGGCATCCGTGAGATCCAGCTCCTTGTCCACTGGGTACTTCCATTGCTTCCCGTCCGCACCATCGTTCGTCTCTGACAACGCCATGTTTTTCTCTGCAACCTTGTTCCAGAATAGGGCATGATCATCCATCCCCAGTGCGCCCAAAAAGAAGCATTCAAGCCCTTGCCTCTCGCAATAGTGGAATAGGGCGGGGCGATTAGGAGATTGACTTGAGCTGATCAGAGACATAGAGACGCACAGAAGGGAGAGGTAGTTATTCCGATCAGGGAAAGAGCCCATATAAGGATAACCAATCGCGTAGATAGAACAACAACAAACTTTTTCCTTTCCTTTTCAGACCTACCTTTTGGCCAGATCAGACCATGAACCTTTCTTCTGTGAGCTGATCGAGCGTGATAACACAAGACGATTGGGAGTTTTACTCCTTGGATCGCGTCTAGACTTCACCCGATCGGATGCTCTCTTTTTATGATCGGAACATCAAGTGTCTTCGATTTGAAGGATTCTATGCCACGATCGAGGCAAGCCTTTGACTGATCGAGGAAGCATCTTGTGTTGCCTTAGGGGTTGTTGGTGTTTCTCCTTAGATCACCGCACCGCATAGGTCCCTCCTACCCTACACCTTTCCAATAGTATTTTTGAGGATGTTTTCCATCGCGCAAAAATATTCAACCGGCTCAGTGTCCGTTCCCCGCTCCAGGATTCTCAGCACTAGCTTCGTCCAATGCGCAATCAGCTCTGGATCCAGCGTCCCCTCGAGCATCCGGAACTTAACCGTGCCCTCATAACTCGGCTCCTCTTCGCCAGACTGCTTCTCGATGATTCGTCGGATGGAGAGGAAGGAGATGCCGGCTTTGCAGTCTCGGTCGGGTTGGTGGAGACGGATGAGGCCGTACACGCTCAAGACCGACCAGATTTGGGGAATCTCGTCTTGGATACTTGAGGGATGCTGTCCTTGGGTACGTGCGCTTCGATCTCGTTTGACAACCTCATCGCTCCCATCTGGGCGCCTTTGCTATTCGGGCTCTGCAGAACAAAGTCGGTAGTGTACTCTGGCAGGTCCTCGGTGCAGGCTAAGGTCGAGTCTTTGCCGAGAGGCACGGTCATGTCGTTTGCTTCCCGCAAGCGTTCGACAAGACTGTAGAGAACAAGCTCCGAAATCCGAACGAGGGTGGCAATCTTCTTGAGGCTGCGGAGAGAGAACCCACGGATATTACCGACGTGCACATGGAAGCCGCAGCTAGGGTCAAGCATCGGCCGGACGCCGCCGCAGAGCACGTCAAAGATCTTTTCAAAGTCCGCGGGACGGTCCTGGAGAATTGGGCTGGATATCTCGACGCCGAGGTCGCCCGCGTAGCCAGCCTCGCCGCGGTGGAAGCTCGAGAGGGACGAGTCGCGGTGAACGTGCCAGATCTGTTGGCGGGGGTTGAGCCCCTTGAGGAAATATAGGTGAGGATTGCTGGCCTCTTAGAGGATGATCCGGAGCGCGAAGTCGGGAATAACAGCATCGTTGGGAACTGCGTGATCAGCGAGTGTGTCGAACGTTGCACTGAGATGGCCTGCGGACGTGAGAATGCTGATGAGGTAGTTTGTATTCGCGGCATAGACTTGTTTGTCTAACGCCCTGGCCTTGATGGACTCAATCGCCCAGGTTATGTATCGCGCGGCCCGGTATCCTTCGTCCTCCTGGGAGGCCGACTTGTCGGACGCCGCAGATGAAGTGTCACGATAGATCCAGCGGAGGTCGTTGGGATCGGGATCCCAAGCGCCGACGAGGGAGTGCGGGACACGAACTCAGAGACCAAGGGGTTTGGACCAAGTGATCTGTAGTATGCTGCTTAATATGGAAGCTTAAGGTCAGCAAGGAGGTCGAAGACCGTGTGCGAGCGGGACGGAGAACTTCGTACAGAAGAATCGAGATAAGACGGAAGATTCAGTCGCGTCTTGATGCCCTCCTGACGCTCGCTTATTGCATTAAGACATAAATCGACGATGCCGCAGCACACTCGGGCTCAGTTGTCGATAGCCTCAGGATCCAGCGTCCCAGCGTGCTAGTTGAAACGGATGAACCCCTCGTGGGGCGTAAGGAGCCCCGAAAAGTCGTACGCACCAGGAACGATACGCTCCATGTAAATGGGGTCCCATAAGCGGGCGTTCGTTCCTTCTGCCAGCCATTGCAAGTCATCCGATACCTCGACGGCTCGAATCATCTCTTTCTCGCTCAAGGAACCGCGGATACTCACGATAAAGATGTCGTCAAGCATCTTGACCTTACTAGGAGGTGGGTGAACTTCGTGAGACCTCCCCCATTTTGATCTCCGCAGAGGTGGTGCACAAGACCGACGGGGTTGAAAAGACGAGAAAACTCGAGGCCAGGGGCAACGAGTGACCTGGGAGGGCAGTGTCCTGCGTGAAGAGTATCGTTACGTTGGGAGGCGGACCAGAGGAAGAGCACAGTTCGCTGTATGTCGGTGATAGCGAACGCCGAGGTCTCTGGTTTAATCTCAACTCGAAGGCGAGGAAGTTGGTTCAGTCCAATTGGGAGGTCTTGGATGTTTTGGATGGCGTAACAGATGGAAGCGATAGTGGACGTGCGATGTGGAGTGAGGTGGATGAAAGGTGAGCGAGGCGCCATTTCGACTCGTGAAGTTGGATAATCCCCTCGTCAACTCTAGTGGTCCAGATTACGTTGGACTTGTTATGAGCGTCTTCGTCCTGTTTCTTATGGTTACCTGCCTCACTTGGATTAGACAATCTCATCTGACGAAGCCAACTCATGAGGAATTCTTGATGACTTTGGGGCCCAGATGTTTCGGTCGTCTTTTCAGCAGTTATACCCGAAGGCTGACAAAGTCGACCGCAAGGATGAGATATCGGAGTCGGATCGGATGAGAAATTCTAGATGGATGCGAAGTTTCATCTTCCGATTGTCAGCATGCTTGTAATTGCCTTCATCTATTTTGAGTGTGCTGCTTTTGGTGCTGACAGTGGTTGTCGAATCCACCGAAAAAGCCGTGTTTTTAGGTTGAGAAGGAATGAGTTGCATTGTGGTTTTGCCTGCAGAATTACTTGCCTGCATATTCAAGTGTGCGAAGCTCCTCACTTACGTATTCAAATTCTCACACCTCACCCTGTATGTAAAAAATTGGAACATCTGTATAGATTTAGTTATATAGACATTACATTGTATGAAAGAACCCGTCGCCTGGCGTAGATTCCGCTTTCACGATGTAGTTTCAGAAATACAGTGAGGCTGAGGCCTAGCGCAACAAGGAAAAAGAAAGTATGAGAGAGACTATGCAATGATCAAGAAGTATCGATTCAATGCATTTTGATGGAGACACCTTGAAGTCAAGCGAATGTCAGTATCATATCACTTTTCTTCTTGCCCGTTTCGCACTCATCTCATGCCTAGTCCACGTGGCTCCTAGCTAGAACGAGTTCGTGACAAACGTATATGAGAATTATGCCAGTGAAAGTTTAGAAGACACGTGAATTGGTTCGGTCAGTTCGATGAAGATAGTCACTCTCTCATGGAGTAAGTGACACTGAAGAACGTTGCAGTCGTCGGTGACGCCGGTGAGCTCGGTGTAAGATGAAATAGTGGGACCGCATCGAGCGCTAGTCCCTTTCCGGAGATGGTCCCGGCGCAAGGCACAAGGGTGCCGGGAAACGCCGACTGGATTTTTCTGACGCGCCATGGCGCCATGCTGCTCCTCCAATGCATTTCCAACGCGATCCACATCTCACAATCGGCGGTGCATCGCTCCCCTTCTGCGCTTAGCACTAAGGCCAATCCCATCGGCGCGCAAATCAACATACGGCATACGGCAATACAGCTCAACGCATACCCGGTAGTAGTCGCTAGCATCATACGAAGCGCCAATTCGTGCTTGCGAATGCGCAACAACCACTAGCTGCTACCACCGCGCCATTCCGTCTTCCTCGACGTGTCCCTCTCCTCCACCCTTGCGTTGCGACAACCTGCGATGACCCATTGGGTCTCATAACATCCCACCATGGACACCCGACCGAAGCCACAGGCCTTCCTGTCCACATATGCGCCGCGCATTAGAACCTACAACAACTCACTCCTTACACCAGTCTTGGCCAGCGCCCCCACCGGCCCAATCTCCCGAGTAACGAAGCGCGGAACGACCATCATCAACTACGCCGAGGATGGCTATGACGACATCGACGATGACGACGACAACAGCCGTCGCCGCCCGACTGGCTTGCGAAGCGTGAGAAGGGAAGAGCTCGCCAACATCCAAGATTTGTCAGACAAGGCAGGGAAAGACACGAACGAGCCCGTCGAAGTCCAGGGCATCTGGAGAGACTGGTTTGGCAAGGGGCGCCAGGTTCGAAGCGACCAACAGAACTCGGCACAGGCCGACCTTCCCCTGACCCTCATTCCTATCCGAATCGAGCTTGACATCCCAGCCTTTGTGCCCCAAGTCCCGTTTCCCTCGGCGCCTCACACTGTCGACACGACTCTGCCTCAGTACCGGCCTCAAGAGCTGACGCCGCCCTACCGGCTCCGCGACACGTTCCTCTGGAACTTGCACGAGACCGTCATAACCACCGAGCAGTTTGCGCAAACATACGTCCAGGACCTGGACCTGCCAAACCGCCACAACACAATGCTCGAAATCGCCAAACAGATCCGTACACAGCTTGAGGAATATGCTGGTGTTGCCCTGCACCCTTTGTTCCACGCGCAGTCGCAGTCACACAACGCCGGCAACAATGACGCTACCAAGGCCAGCTCGATACTCAACCACGACGATTCTCCCACCCCCGCCACCAGAGCCATTAGCCGCTCCGATACCCCCATGCAAAACGGCGGTTTTGGGACACCGTCGAGGATAAGGGACCTTACCTCGGCGCCAGATGTCACCGCCAATGCAAGCCCCGTACCCGTTGACGCCGATGAGTACGACCACGACGACGCCTACCGATGTATCATCACCCTCAACATCAACCTGCAGTCGACCCTGTACACGGACAAGTTTGAATGGTCTCTGTTGCATCCGCCAGGAATGCCAGAGGCCTTCGCAAGCCAGACATGCCAAGATCTTGGACTTACGGGCGAGTGGGTCCCCGCTATCACGCACGCCATTTATGAAGCGGTCCTGCGTCTAAAGAAGGAGGCTTGCGAAGCAGGCGGCCTCGTGATGGGCTGGAACGGAGCCCGCGAGTTCCCCAACGAGGCCATGGCAGGAGCCGACGCCGGATGGCGTTACGACCCAGAAAACTTGGCTGACCCCTGGGAGCCAAAGGTGGAGATCCTGAGCAAGGAGGAGATGGAGAAGCGCGAGGGAGACCGAGAGCGACAGATTCGCCGCCTGCGCCGCGAAACCGCCCGGTTCAGTTCAACTACCGGGCTGGTCGGCGGCGTGCCATTCTCTGGATTCGGTAACGTCGTCGAGGCTCCGGAAGAGGAACGCATGGGCAGAGGCGAGCGGTCCAAGAAGAAACGTCGGTTCCGCAGTCTGAGTCCCCTGGGCCGGTCCGGCACCCCCGGCGGACGCGGAACCCCGGACATGGGGTCCGGATACGGCGCGGGAAGCGGACTGACGGACCAGGAGCGCTTGTCCTGGAGATGTTGGCACTGTGCTCTGTGGGGATCGAGTGTTTGGGCGGTGAGGCCTGGCCCTGCAGGACCGAGGGTGAGTTACCGAACCTTTTCTCCTTAACATGGATGCATTTACTAAACACAAAGCAGTCGCTGTGCCAGAATTGCGGGTTGGTCTACGAGCGTGACGGCAAACTCCCTCGCCAAACGAAGAACATGCATCTCACTGTAATCCGGACGGCATGAGATCAAGCAGTCTGGCGGTTTGATATTTCGTGGAGGTCGACGACCGAAGAGGAGGGAGTGGTTCCTCGTGGCCCGTGCATCAGATGAGCTCGGAGTCCAAGCTCTTGGTGTGTAGATGGTGCGCAGATGGCGGGTCTGACAGGCGTTTACTTTAGGGATAATCAGGCTCTTGGGCCGAAAGGGGGAAGTCAAAGATTCATAGGAGTCCGGCTGAGAGCAGGTTTGCGCGATATTCCAGATGCTTTCGGGGTAATTAGGGTCGAGGCCTGCCTCACTCGAGGCGGTGACATTGCAGACTGTGTGTAGGAGGCCAATATTCACACAGACACGTATTCTAGGGCAGGTATCTCTGAAGTGGTTTGCGCAGGCCGAGGTCGACTTCTTGTGCCGTCTCTTCCATCACACATCTTCTGCTGTCACACATTCTCTTTAGCCGCGTCGTGGGTTTGTCTCGTCTCTGTTCTTATCTTGAAGATGTAAACTAGGCAAGACTGGAGGATGGATAGTTAAGGAACAAAAATGTTGCATAGGTACTTGTAGTGTTCGAGAACTCCTTCTACTTGCAAGTTCTTAGCTAATCACGGTTCGCTCCAGCGTACTGTGTGTGGTACACCGTCCCGATGACCCATGTGCACTGTCTTCCGACCCCATCCAACGCCACATCCTGCTTCTAGACAGCCCATGAACTTCTCACCTCATCTTATCACGGTGCATGTGACCACGGCTCATTCCACGGGCGACATCTATCAAATAGCTCAATTCTTCTCGTTTTCAACACCGAAGAGACCTAGCAGCCTGTTTCAGCTTTGGCGCTATCGACGGCTTACACTACCACGTCGTGGCAAGACATGCCGACCACGCCGAATCGGGACGAAAAAACCACGGAGCCTCGACGTTGACCTTCCGCGTTTTACCCACGCCTAACACTTTTTCCTGTACGGGAACGTCGCCGGTTAAATTTGAGTGACGTGGAGTCCCCCCTCTTTTCCCTCCCGGCCGCCTATACTCTCGACCCAGCATTAACCCTACTAGACTAGACTATGAGCTGGGAACCAGAAGTGCCCGTTTCCAGGACGGGAACTATACCATTCGTTCCCACGATCTGAGAGGCTGCCGCCGTCGCCTTTCTCATGCGTCAGAATGTCCTGGGGCGGACTGTGGGGCATATGGGCGTATGCTTCTGTGCCCATACCGAAAGACTTGGGGCGAGAACACGCGTAGGAGTCAAGCCTACGGTTGTGTCCCTCGAAAGCCGCATGATCGAGGCCAGTTGGGGAGCTGACCGTCAGTCAGCCAGGTCGGACCAGCGCTTGCCACCCTTCCTTTTGTGTCCGCATGTATACCCTCCGGCGTACAATGGGGCAATGGAGACAATGAGGAGGCAACCGGATGCAGAAGAAATAACATGGACCATGGCGAAGATCGTGTGTTGGACTTGGT